AAAATTATTTTTTGATCTCAATTCAAAAATACAAAAGTATTAAATAGTTTATCTACGCCAATATTTAAACATGTACTGTACTGACATTTTAATTTTGCCGGCAGTAAACTAGATTTAACTTTATTTCGGGTGGAGACTCCGCATTTTAAAGGATACATTTTGATTTACACATAAAAGTTTGACATTTTTCAGATTCCCAAGTTGGTTACTTTATTGTTTTATAGATGTTGTGTCCATATTTAATTTAAATCATTTTTAGATATTAATTAAGGTATTTGTCGTATAAAAAGTATAGAATGCAACTTGTGCAACATTGTATAAGGACAAGTAAGATTTAAAAAAAACAGTATAAGTATTAAAAACATAGATAAATATGTACAAATATTGGTTAAAAACATTACATGTTACAAAAATTATATAAAGTAAGATACATACATTTTTCAAACAGCTTGCAGATAGTCAGACACAGAATAAAAACAATTTAACAATATATATTTTTTTAACTCTCTTTTAAAATCCAACTAAACATTAATACTTATTAATTTTTTATAAAATTTTATACCTGAGTATGAAGGTGATCTCTCATATAGACTGGTTTTATGTTTAGGATACTCTATTGTTTGACCATGTCTAGTTAAATTTTTATGGGAACTACCAAAACAATTAAAAGTAGACAAATTTTTCTTTATATACAAAATATATACAGGCACGGCAATGGCAAAATATAATATTTTTTGAAATATGGTTTACAGGATTCAATTTGATTAATATTAAACAAAAGTCTCTGAGTTCGTTTTTTTTGCTTTAAACCCTCTTTCACTGCAAACTGCAACCTCATAGGATAACATTATAATTTATAATATAATTAATAAGAACATAGTATAAATTTATAATAGTTTTGCAATCAAGTTTAGGTTTAACTTGTAATATGGCATAGTACCACAAGGATCTATCTTAGGACCAATTTTGTTTATCCTATATACAAACGATCTGACAGAAAAGGTAAATACTTCAAAATCATGCATTTATGCTGATGATACCACGATAGTTCCGACAATACAAAAAGGCTAAAACAAAAGTCCATTAAAGCAATAAACAATGCACAAGATTGGTTTGAGACAAACGGATTAAAACTAAATAAAGAAAAAACTCAAACACTTGTATTTTCACTAAAAAAACCTACACTATCTTCATTTGCTAGGGTTTTATATGGATAGAACAATGACATGGATTCAACATATATAGTAAATTTAAAAAGAAACGACGTACTCGTCATCAATCAGTTGATCGGGCACGGTTGTCAATGTGATGCTAAAATCATTGCATCAAGTGAAAGTGGCAGGGTGATAGATGGCGTTTACATGAAAAAAACGGTAGGGTCCCTAGATTTGGGACCTTGGAATACCAACATGTCAAAAGTCAGAGTTTTTATAACCGCCAAAAGTATGTTTTTAGCCATTTTTAAATACTTTCAGCTATAAAACCCAGAAATTTTGCCATCTTAAGTCAGTATCTGGTATATACATTCTTATTTTATGTATCCAACATATATTAAGTGGAAGAATGATCCATGATCAAACTTCGCCCTTTTGATGTATTACTTTTTATATCAAATAAAGTCTTTTATTTTTATTATTATTATTATTATTATTATTATATTCTGTTAAATATTTTAATATTTAATAATACTATTTACCTCTCTAACAGCTGTTAAAGGTAACAAAGGTCCATTATTATCCCGTTCTGCCTCAAAATAGCGTATTAAGGATGATATCAACTCTTGACTCCGACTATTTAAATGCTTCGGCATTTTAAATACAGGACAAACAAAAAAAAACGATATATAACAAACACAAAAACGGCAATGAAAACTTAAACGATATAAAATAACACAAACAACAAACGAAATTATACACGAATTATTCAAAAACACAACTGACAGCTTCGAAATTCCAAAACGACAATTTCTTTTTCTATGCGTCATTTTATTAAGCAAAATTTTAATCTAAACATGACAACATTGCAATTGCTGCCAACTAAAGATGTTTAAAATGCATTAAAATATTCAATTACCGACTTCTTTTTATAAATTTACATCGTGAACAAAAATGCCGCCTATTTTGAACATTTTCATAGCATCTCCACATATGGAATTATGCTCTGGGGTTCATGTTCGGAATCATCCAGAATATTTCTACAGCAAAAAAGGGCTATTAGAGCAATAATCGGAGCACCGCCAACAACAAGCTGTAGATAAATATTTAAAATCTTTAAAATACTTACCATTCCAAGCTGCTACATTCTTACCTGTCTATGCTACATACACCAAAATCAGACCAACTACTTACATTCACAATTATGAAACAAGAAATAGAGACAAAATGGTTCTACCTAAATGTCGTTTGCAGAAGTCTCAGAACAATTTTGTATATTTGGGAATGCAACTATTAAATCAGCTTCCAGAAGAGATCAGAAAGATGGACACAACACTTTTTTAAAAGACTGTAAAAAATGTCTTTACCCAAAATGTTTCTTATTCAATAGATGAATATTTAAATTTCTAATGTATGTATTGTTACCTTAAGCATTTATATACATCTTTTATCATTAATTTTTTCTTAATATTTTTAAACTTAGTAAACTTATTTATTGCGTTTTTATTCATATGTCCCCTCCATTTCCCGCACTCCACTAGCCTAAACTGGGCGTATGGTCGGCCCGGCGACAAAATTCCGGGAATGGCCTTAACCATCGACATCCTAGGGAAGATTTACCAGCCGACGTAAAAATTCGGATCCAACAAACACATGTAATGCTGTGCAGTTGTGGGATACGTAGGAGAACGTAAAGGGGGTAAAAATAGTCCCAGGAAGATCAGTGTAAGGGGAAGCCGATGGGGCCTGCCATAAGTCTATATACTCATACTCACTCATGTCTCTTGTACATTTTATATTATTATATTTTAATTATGTTTTTATATACTATTTTGTTAACAAGCCTTGTAAATTTTGAAGGTAAACCAATATATCTATCTATCTATCTATTAACCCTTTTGCAAAAATGATCTAAACTGCGCACCACTCAATGTGTCGCGACCAAAAAGTTCGTTCTTTTTCAAAACGACATAACTTTTTTGTTTCTTGAACGATTTAATTTTGGTTTGTTATGTCTGCTAGCCTCATCCTCTGGCAATTTATGCTATAGATATAAAGCTCACGGTTGGTCAAGTAAACTTCCTACAGGGTGATATGTTAAACGGTAAAAAAATTTAATAACTTTATCCAAGCCGCGTTTGTAAAAAAATATTTTTTTTTCGTTTTTACTTTGAAATAATGAAGTATTATGTGTTACCTTGAAACGTTTTTCAAATTTTTCGAATTGGAATCTTAGCAACGAAAATATGATTTTTTTTCCAAACGAGTACATTTAAGGCTTTTTTTAGGCAATACACTCAGTCTTTTTAGGAACAAGAAGATAATATGGTGAAAGAATGTTCCTTAAATAATTCTGAACAAGCGACAAGCAACAAACTTCCATTATTTTCAGAGGGCCTAAGCTAAGACCACTTTTTTAAAATAAAATTTTTGTGAAAGTTTGCAAAAACTAAACCTAAACCGATATTTACTTTTGTAAAATGTTTTCTTCATAATTTTGACCTCCTGATTGTGATTCAGTTGTCAAATTTAAGTTTCAGATAAAACCAAAATCACTACGAATCAAGATTCGAAAACAATTCCCGGCTGTGTCAATAAAATCCGATTGCTGGTTTTTACTGTTTTTTTACATATCGTAAATGAGTATTTAAGGGACCACCATATTGAGAAAATGAATTGGCCACCTTTGTCTCCGGATATGAATCCTATTGAGCATGTGTGGAACAGGATAAAATTGAAGATGAAAGAGAGGGAAGGAGGCAAAATTTTGATGAATTGATAAATGCTATTCAGGAAGAATGGGGTATCCCAGAAATTTCTAAGGAACTTGGTCGAGGGAATGCCCAGGAGGGTTCACGAATTATTACGGTTTAGGGGAGGGCCAACAAAATATTGAAAGGTATAATTGTTATTGTTTGTTACATTTACATTTATCTTTATTATAAATTAGTTACTTATCAATGATGTTATTACTACTGCGCAATGTAAATGTAAGTTATGTAACATTATCCTAACCACTCAAACAAATTGCAGTAATTTCGCCCAAAAAATGAATCCCCAAATGGCATTTTCATCATAAATATGCAAGAAACACGACAGCAATCGGATTTTATTAAAACATTTAACAACAGGGAATTGTTTTCGAATGTTGATTCTTGAAGATTTTGGTTTTATCTGAAACTTAAATTTGACAACTGAATCACAATCAGGAGGTCAAAATTATAAAGAAAACATGCCACGAACGTAAATATCGGTTCAGGTATAGTTTTCGCAAATTTTCACCAAAATGTCATTTTGAAAAAGTGGTCTTTGCTTAGGCCCCTCTGAAAATAATGGAAGTTTGTTGCTTGTCGCTTGTTCAGAATTATTCAAGGAACAATCTTTTACTATCCTATTTTTTTGTTCTTAAAAAGACTGAATATATTGCCTACCAAAAAGCCTTAAATGTACTCTTTTGGAAAAAAATCATATTTTTGTTGCTAAGATTCCAATTCGAAAAATTTGAAAAACGTTTTAAGGTAACACATAATACTTCATTATTTCAAAATAAAAACGAAAAAAAAATTATTGTTTTACAAACGGGAAAACTGTGTGCTTAATATCTATAGCATGAATTGCCAGAGGATGGGGTTAGCAGACAACACAAACCAAAATAAAATCGTTCAAGAAATAAAAAAGTTATGTCGTTTTGAAAAAGGACTAAATTTTTGGTCGCGACACATTGAGTGGTGCGCAGTTTAGTTGATATACAATTTAAAAAATTATTAATAATATTTGTGACAACCAAATGTTTTTCGCTTCATAAATTTGCTAATTTTACATAAATGGTGTTTTCGTTAATTGCAGTCGAGGAACTGCAGTGCCTGGCCACATGGAAGGAGGGCAGCTCTCGGTATCTGGTCGGCAAGGTGCACCACAACCACGCCACCTCGAACGAGGACCGCTTCCGTTGTTTCGTGTACGAAAAGATGACGCCCGGGTCCGAGGTGGCCGGCGTCGATTACCGAGTCGCTCAGAGCGGGGACGCCACCTGCAACGGGCTGTTCAGCTCCAGCGAAGGCAGCAGGACGATGACTCTCAAAAGAGGTAAGCTTAGAGCTAAGATAGTTGTTTAAATAAATAAATAAAATTAAATTAGAAAAACAAAAAAGAACAAGAATGGCAAAATTCAAGTAGCCAGTACTGACATAATTTATTAAAACCTTAATAACGACTTTATTATTTTATTAATATTATTTGGTGAACAGGTTTATAGAAACAATTGAAATCTCCATACTTCGTATGGGGGACCGTGTTAATATTAATAATGGGAGTTGAAACTTCTCAGGAATTTTTTTAACCATTTGAAAAAGTTTAATGGGGCGCACAGTAGGCTAGAGGGCGCTTCCAGTTTGCGGAAATTCAAAATAAGTAAGTGATATATTTTGACAACATTTAGGGAATGTTTAATTCTTTAATATCTGTAAAAAATGAAAAACTTTAAATCACCTTCAAATCTGTTGAATTTTTATCAGGTATCCAGTCAAAGTTTAATTATAATTGCACGTAAACGTATTGCTTCTATAACAATGTTTATTATTAATTTTCTCTTACTTTTCGACTATCATTGTATTAAATACTGCCATACGTTATGACTGCAAAAAACTTAATTTAAATTTTTTTTAAATATAGAAAAACGCTGGAAGCTCAGAAGAAATATCATTGTATTAAATATCGTCATACGTTGGTGATGGAAACCATTAATAAAAAAGCTTCTGAAAATAAGGAATAATTTTGAATTAATTACTAATAACTATAAGTAAATATCAATAATTTTCCACCGTTTTAAAGCGGAAATTCAAAAGTAATTCATATTAAGTTTTCAAAGCACGAAAAACATTTTTACTTGTTACAAACTGACTGTCTGACGCCTATCAACTCGATTTGACAAACCTAAACACAGTATACTGTGTAAATTACAAAACTACGTCAAATTTTAACGTTATAACGTTAAAATACTTATTCATACTAATTTATATTTTTCTTTATTTATTTATTTTTATGTAATTTTTGTTAAAATCAACCATAATCATTAAGTTTTATTTTATAAATGTTGAGTAATTTACTCATTAAAACTATAGATTTTAATTGTTCTATGACACAAAGATACTTTTGTTGTTCAAGTGGATTTGTTTTTCTAATGATAGTAAAGTGTAATTTTTATTAAAATTTCATCAATTAGACCAAAAAAATTAACATTAACTAAGAGACCGGTTTCGCCTTACGGCATCTTCAGGGTTTCTACAAGAATGGTATAAAGATATATATAGAGATTTAAAATATTATTATATATATCTACTTACACGTCAATATTATAAAAATATACGTTTAACAGACATTAGAACAAGTATAACATGTTGTATTATGGACATTACAAATATAAATATAATTAAAACACATTAAAATTTTAGTTAATTAAAGCCTAAATCAAAAATAAAATTTAGTAAAAGTTAAGGTTATGTTGTTATTATTGTTTTAGGTTAGATGTTTATATATTGGTGTGTAAAACAAATTAACCTGTTCATTAAGGCATTGTATCTTATTGTTTTTCATTTGTTTGTTAATTTCGTAGGCTTCTAGCAGTGTGTTTGTGGTTTTTTTCTTGTATGTGTAGTATTTTTGTGTTTGTTTCTGTGTTGAAAGTGTGTCCAGTGTTTGTTAAGTGATTTCCAAAATTTGAACTGCGATTATTGTTGTTTATGTGTTCTTTAATCCTTGTTTTAAAATTTCTGCCTGTTTCTCCTATATATGTGGCTTCGCAATCATTACAAGTTAGTTTATTTACTCCGCTTTTTTCAAAGATGTTTGTTTTTTGTTTTGCATTATTAAGGCTATTAAATATAGTGTTGTTTGTCTTTATAGCTGCTTTCAAGTTGTTTTTTTTTAATTTTGTTTATTGCTTCTGTGATTTGTCCTTATATTATATTGAAATTCTTTTGATTCTTTGTTATACATATTTATAAGTTTTAAGGTGTTTTTACATTTTATTCGTTTTTGTAATTTTTTATTTGTTTGATAATGTTTACCTCTTTTTATATTCGTTTTCTGTCAAGGGTACATTATTGAGTCTATGTAAGAGACTATGGAAGGCGGAATATTTTTGTTGGTTGCAGTGAAATGAATTATTTGGTATAATTGCGCTGGTTGCTGTAGATTTTTTATAAATGTTGAAGTTGTAGGCTGTTTCATTGCGGTGAATTGTTAGGTCTAAGAATATTATTTTTCTTTTATTTTCTTTTTCTATTGTGAATTTTAGTTTGCTGTGTTGATTATTAATATATTTGTAAAGATGCCGTAAGGCGAAACCGGTCGGTTATTAAAATAAAATAAAAAAATTTACAGCAGGGAAGTGACTAATTTACAATATTAAAATCCCACTGCTAAAATGGATTATACAATTAAACGTATTAACTAAGAGTTACTTAAACACATAATTTCTTTTCGTTAAATCGACTCTCTAGCCCACTGTGGGGCGGTACAAACAAAATTAATTATTATATACAAAATATATACTTTATAAAAGGTCTTATAAGCCAACTGAACGGCTTGTGTATGTGTAGTGGTCTGCCCTGCGGTGATGTGATTCTTAGATTATTTAATAGGTTAAAAGTTTTAAATAACAACATCAAAAGTTCCTCATTTTTTTTTCGAAAAACTGTAATTAATAAGATATATATTAGAATTAATATACATCTTATTTTAATACCTAATATATTATATTTATTTATATGTTTAAAAATAATTATTAACAATTAACAATAAAACTTTGTGGCTTGCGCCATTTCTGCAACAATTTTTTTCTTACATTTGTATTTTAGGAGTTGAACGAAAGCTGAGAATATTTCCAGAAATTTTTAAAATTTTAAATATTTTAATAATTAATTATTTTACAGACAAGATAAATGAAATATTAATAAAAAAATATATAACAAAAATCGTAGGAGGACTCTTTTCTGTATCATATAACTTCTGAACGCTTGAGGTCATTTTCACAATATTTTTGTTCTGGCTTGGGTGGCGTTGTAATGAAGTTATTAAAGAATTCTATAAAATTCATCCCGGCGCATTCGCCATTTTTGCGACTAAGTCCGCTGCATATCTATTTTTATAATTCTCGTTAAGTTTTTCATATATATGTATTATTTTTTTTAAATACTGGCTTTTAATTAAAAACTAGCCACCCTTAATAACCTTTGGATTATAGTAAATATGATTGAGCAAAACACTTCGATTTATAAGGAAAGTACAAATTAAATGACACCCAAGGTATAGGGTGCGACACAACTTTAAAGGAAATATAAATTCTAATCTAATAAAGTTAAAAAAAAATGAAAATCCTTAGTTAAAAGCATATCACAAATTCTAATTTTTATCTTTTATATTATGTGTTGCTATTTTTAAAATGAATTTTGTTTGTTTTACTTTCTAAATCTGATAAAAAGTTTGTTCCATTTGTTACGTTAAATTAAAATAAAAATATTAAAAATACATTTTTAACTAGGTAAAAAATAATATAAATTTTAATGGAATATTAATAGTTTTTTTGTTATATAGAAAATATTTTGTAATACTATTTTGAAATGAAATAAAAAATAGTAAATAAACGTAAAAGACCAAATATTTAATTAAGTTAAAACTTATCCCTACTTTGTATTTTGTGTAAAGCTTATTTTATATCGTAAAGGTTTTACCACCAACGATAGATCGAATATTCGAATCTAAATCTTTTGATGGATCCATTATCCTAAACAAAATACGCAAAATTCGCTGAACCGAAAATTTGGTGCTGCGGCTAGAGTGGAAAACAACAGGTCGTCATGTAGAATACACGGCCAACTTAGTTAGTTTCACCACGGCCAACTAGTCGCAAATGGCGCGCTACGATTTCAAAAGGGGCTTTTGTCTGTGCATGTCCGCTTTTCCAAATAAAGCAAGATATACTTTGCGCAGGAATCTGTATAAAACATATTTAATAAACTTTTGTTTTAACTAACGCAACTTTAGGTTACAATTATTGTGACAAGCTTATTGTTTACAACTATGAATCGTATTCATTAACAGCAGATTATTCATTCATATATACGGTTACGGTATCGGCTTTAAATTCCTGATTACATGCGGATTCGTGTATTAAGAAGCAATCTTGTATATTGGCAAATATATTAGGCCTACCCCATCGATTCGACCTGAAGTAGGTCAAACGGTTCTCAAACCGACACAAAACGAACGCAAAATTGCCCATCGTCTATCTCCCAAAGGATGATAATTCTTTCGCTGTTTAATGCTGCCACTTTGGGTTCTACGTTACGAAAAATTTGCATGGGATGTATTTTATCGTTGTGATTAACGTATGAAAAGTCTTTGCCTATTTTTTTTTATAATAAGTTTGTTTTGGAAGCGATAATTTTGATTATTTTTCTAATTTGTTTTTAATAATAGTTTTTTAGGTATAAGTTTACTATAATAACTTTTAAAAATGTATTTCATATATTAACAAGGTTTTTTTTAAAGGTTAATACGCTAAAGAAGCATATGCTTTACGCAACGCGCGTGGCATCTTTTAATAAACATTGTTGACAATTCAACAAATGTCAACAATACATTTAAGCATACAAACTGCACATTATTTTTAAATAAATAACGCTTACTAGACAAATTTTGTTTAATTGAACAGCTAAATCGCTCACGTTATTAGTGTTTTGAGTTGCATGTAAAAACTAAAAAACTTTGGTTTAGTACTCGATTTCAATTTATTATTATATGATTAATTCAGAAACTTAACGCTTATATATAACGCTTTTTTTTTGTATATCTTTACCTAATATAATTTATATTTAAGTTTAGACATTTTTAAGAAATCAAACAAAAAATAATTGTTGTACAAACATAACCTTAAAATCGAACATTTTTATATTTGCGTCAACTGCCTTTTAAACGACAAAATATATCTATATATAAATTTATAGCAACATAATATTATTTATAATACATAATGTAATATCGGTTCTTGCTATTATACCTTTGAGTGGAGACTTTTAATCGACGCTTTTAATAATTATAATGCATATTGCTGTTTAAATTTGGATGACTTATTACATTATTACAATCTTCTTTTGGATTTCCAATGTTTATTGTGAATCCGGTAAAAACTCAAACCAGGATTTCCTCTCGAAAAACAAACAACACAAAAAATCGTGCTGTGGTGTTTTCCCGATATGTTTAACATTTTCTGGCTTTATTCTTAAACACTCGTTTGTAACATACCTACGCGTTTGACAGCTGCTTATTGAAAGCCGAATTATGGTTCTGATAATAACGGCCACGTGGTGGCGCTACTTACGATGCTTCTTTAGCGTATAGTATATTGTTTAGCGAGCATAGCATAGCAATTACTTCCGAGGTAAACCCTTTACATTTTTTTGGGTGGAATAGCTTACAAATACACAATTTGGGTACCCGCAAAAAACTTGTGACGAAATTAAAATCTGACGTGGTATTTAATTCTGACGTTTACTTGCAAAGTCAATAACAATGTAACGTGGTCATGGTAGCGGGAGGGAATGAAGCATTTCTTACCTGATAAAAGGGAGGGAATGAAAATATATACAGGGGAAGGAATAAGATTGTTTACAGTGAGATAAATGAATGTCATTAATTATTAACAATTGCTAATACAATCGGCGCATTATTAACCACTCGACAAAAAATATAGTTTAATTAGATATATAGGGTGGTTTAATCAAACGAAACTCGTTTTTGGTTGGACCAACCTGTATATTACAAAAATTATTTATAAGTACTATTTATAATAATCACCATTATGTTTAATTAAAAAAAGTATATACAAATAATATTTTTTTACTTTAATACAATAATTCAATTTCAGTAAAAATTATACATAAATTTATTATGAGTAAAATTTATTTTAAGAATAATAAATACAAAAATAAGAATAATTATTATAATTACAATTACTTAAAATAAATTTTATCTCCACGCGGTCTATAATTTAAACTTTATTGTTGTTAACATTCGATAAAGAAATACCTTGTTATGGCCTAGGCCGATAAAAAATTTTATGAGGCAAGTAATTAGTTCGATTTTTTCTCGCTAGGGGTATTGTTTTGATAAATTAATCCTTTTCTAAGAAATTAACGTACTAAACTGGTTTAATTTATTTATAATAAGCACTAATTTGTTTGTTTTACTGTTAATGTTTAATATTTTTCATTAAATTATTGTAAAATTAAATATGAATAATAAAACAAAAAGTGAGGTTAGGCAACCAAGAAAACGCACGATTCGTTTTCTAAGATTTAAATTATCTTTAAGTTTTAATTTGCTTTAAGTTTTAAGTGAAATTAAATGTTAAACACAGCTTAAACATTCCAAACTACATATTTTTAAATAAAAATCCAAACAAATTGAAATTAGATACCTATTTATTAAACAATTAATTGAATTCAATGTAACAGCAAAAATCCATTTCTACTTAAATCATGTTGGTATTGTCAAACTATTACTGCTTCTAAAAGCAATAATAATTATTGTACATTTAATGTAATCTTTAGCCAATAAATAAATGAGATTCTAAAAAAGTGAGGTTAGGCCGCTTTGATGTTGAATTAAATTGACCTATATAAAGTGCTTTGAAGAAAAAATGTTGTATGCCATTCGGCCAAGAAGTGCCTTTTTGTGCTTCGCTCAATTGTAGGCCTCCGCTACGCGTCGTCCTTCAAACTTTGAGCTTAGCACAAAAAGCCTTACTTCTTAACCTAATGACATAAATAACTATTACTCATAATAAATTCAGGTATAATTTTTACTGTAACGTGTTATTTTAAGCACAAAAACATTGTTTTAAACTGACGAAACATTTTATATATTATTAAACTTTTTTCATAAAATATTCCTTGAGTAATATGACGAAAAAAGTGAAGACATTCTGGTTAGAGTCTAAGTTTCAGCAAACAAAACCGTCGGAAAATAAAAATAAAAGTTGGGCAACAAAACTAAGTGAATCCCCATGAAGACTGTAATATTAATGCAAAACCTCGTCGAAACATTAAAAAAGCAACAAAGGCTTGGCAATTTCTCAAGTTTAAAGTGTCTCGGGTGTAAAATTGTCATATTTGAATGATAATTTTTTCCGTTGTTTCAGCTCCCGCTCTGAACAAATGCCGCTTTCCCCCTTGGGTAGCGAATTACAACCACTGGCACACTTTGGACTACACTGCGACTTACAGTTTTCATCACAGAAACTCCACCCTGAGGATCACCAACTCTAGTGGACTAGAGATGCGAGTCGTTTGCTCGCAAGTCAAATACACGTCCAGAGACGAGAACACCGTCATTCTTCTTGCACATTTTACCATGGGGTGGTAAGAATTTTTATTTATAATTATAACAATATTTATACCTTTAAATTATAACACAGTACGACAAAATTTGATTTTTTTCCCTCCCATGAAAAATTCCTATAGATTTTAAAAATAGGCTTAAAAATGATATCCGTGTCTCGGTGTTTTTTCAGATCACGTCATTTTTTTAAAGTTCGATTCAATAAAATTTTATCTACGGTATACGGCACATAATATAAAAGCTTTGATAACAGCTAGACTGTATAGTTAAAAAAAATAGTTATCTCCACGCGGTCTATAATTTTAACTTTAATGTTGTCAACATTCGATATAGAAATACATTATTGTGTTGTTTCAGTGAAATTAAATGTTAAACACATTCCAAACTACCTATTGTTTAATTAAAAATGCAAACAAATTGAAATTAGATACCTATTTATTAAACAATTAATTCAATGGAATGGCAAAAGGGTAAGTAAACAACTTTCTTACAAAAATCCCTTTTTACTTAAATCATGTAGCTAGGTATTGTCAAACTATTACTGCTTCTAAAAGCCATAATAATTATTGTACATTTAATGTAATCTTTAGCTAATAAATAAATGAGATTCTAAAAAAGTGAGGTTAGGCCGCTTTGATGTTGAATTAAATTGATCTATATAAAGTACTTTGAAGATAAAATGTTGTATGCCATTCGGCCAAGAAGTGTATTTTTGTGCTTCGTTCAATTGTAGGCATCCGCTACGCGTCGGCTTCAAACTTTGAGCTTAGCACAAAAAGCCTTACTTCTTAACCTAATGACATAAATAACTATTATTGAATAAATGGACAACCATTAAAGATACATTTTAAAATTATTTTAATTATATACAGGGTGTTGCACATTTACAAAATACAGGGTTTTTCACGTTTGTGGTCCATTGAAAGTTTCTGGGGAACGGCCAAATATATCCATTTTTAAAGCGTTTATAATTCAATTTAGCTTATTTTTTTCAAATATTTTGAACAAAATGCCACTTTCGGTTTGACCGAAAGTGACATTAACTTTGTTATTTCAAATAGAACACCCCATATATTTTTACATTTTTAAATTGTGCATAAAATTCTGAGTAAAATTACTATACCATGTTCCATACCTAAAGTAAATAGTTTTTGAGTTATTAATGGGGGGTGGAATTTTTTGAACCTTAAAATATTGTTTAAAAGAGATCATGTCAATTCCAGGGCACATTAAAACTAAAAACCTAAAACGTTAATAACTTTTTTATTTTAAACACCCTGTATGTTTTTACATAATCAAATAGAAAATTAAAAAACATTTGGATTGATGTAACTATTCCCTATACCTAAATTTAATAAATTCAGAAATATTTAACAATTTTTAATATTAGAAATATTAGAAAAGTCAAGAAAAGCAACGTCTAATGTAGAAGTAAGAATTAAGAAATACTTAAATGTGAATGGAGGACGCTTTGAACATTTAGTAATAAATTTGTTAATTAAAATATTGTTGGTTTATTAAATTGTTACAGTTACGCATTCTTTTTGATATTAAAATATTTCATAATAGTATAGGTATTAGAGAAGTAATGTCATAAGACCTCATTTCGTCGCTTGTTTTATAAATTGTCCGCGTGCGACAAAAGGTCTTATGACATGAGTTCTTTATGCTATTTTATCTATTTTGCAAAAATTCTTTAAAAAAATTAATTACCTTAAATTTAATTTGGTCGAATTTTACTTTATATAGTCATTGGTTTGACAGTTAATGTCAAAATCGATTCGCCATGCCGTCCTTAATTTACTTATTTACAATAAGCGGCTGTTAATGTTAAAGAAGAAAAAAAGGATTTTCTTTGGTGTTAAATAAAATTTCTTGCCAGAAAAGTCTCGTAAGTACTAGAAAAATAATAAAAGTATTATAACCAATATGCAAAATATTATGCTGTTTAAAGTAAAGCCAACCTATAAAATCAAAATTTTGGGTGGGATAAAGTATCTCATTACAGCACCGAAAGCGGTGTATAATGAAGTCATTATGAACGCAAAATGGATAAAATAAATTTTATGTTTCATTGTCTCCAATGAGCTTCATCTAGTTAACTTCTAGGTAACATGCTACAGCTTCGTTGATTTTTTTTTTAAATTAGCATAAACTTTTTGAATTACTCTAAAATTTTAAAAATATTTGGCTTGTCAATGTTTTTTATAATTCACTGACTGCTTTTTTAACAGTAATTTTGTTTACAACAAATTGTTTATAACAAACTGAAAAATTGACGCCATTAAATTTTGAACAATGACAGATTACGTGGTAACCATAGATACCGTCAACTCACCCGTCACAGGTTTCTTGATACAAAATAATATTTAAAATTTTATAAATTGTTAAATATCTTTAAAATGATTATTTTTAGGTATAGGGAATAGTTACATTAATCGAAAGGTTTTTTAATTTGCTATTTGATTAGGTTTAAACATACCGGGTGTTACAATTAAAATAAAAAAAATATTAATGTTTTAAGTTCAATTTGCCCTAGATTTACTCGGGTAATTTGTTGAAAAATGTTTAAGAATTGACATGAAATCTTTTAAACAATGTTTTAAGATTCCAAAAATTTTACCCCCATATCTAGGGTTGCCAGATTCTGTCAAAAAAAAAGGACATTTTGTGACAATTTACCTTAATTACAATACTTAGGTAACGTCAAATTCACAATTTGCATTGTTTTACTGTATTATTTTTGTAATGAAGGTAAATTCTCGCAAAATGTACTTTATTTTTTTGACAGAATCTGGCAACCCTACCCATATCCGCAAACCCAATAGCAAAAAAGTTATAGACTATTTTTGATTGACGCGCATTTCTAAAAATATTAACAAAAAAATTAATAACTCGAAAACTATTCACTTTAGGTACATGACATGGTATAGTAATTTTACTCAGAATTTTATGTAGAATTTAAAAATGTAAAAATATATGGAGTTTTCTATTTGAAATAACAAAGTTGATGTCAATTCCGATCAAACCGGCATTTTGTTTATAATATTTTTGAAAAATAGACTTAAATGGATTATAAACGCTTTTAAAATTTTAAATCGATATATTTTTTAATTTCCAAGAAACTTCCAATTTACTACGAATGTGAAACACCCTGTACCTATATATTAAGTATATTAAGTAGTGTTTTTAAGTGATACCACTATAGATTCTAAATCAATTTTTAATCGTCAAACTAAAGACCAAGATTTGTTTCCAACATTTATTGAATATAAGATACAAACAAATCTGTTGTTTTATTAAAAAAAATCAAAGGTAAAAACGGAAATTATTTTTTTATTACAAAAAAATAAAATTATTATATAAGTATAATTTGTGTATTATTTAAAAACATACAATATTTAAAGAAAAAAATTATTTATGAATTAAAAATCTGTATAGGTTAAAATAATAAGAATGGCTGTATAAAAAATTTAAATGACGTGATTTCGTGAAACGGTGAGATACGAGTACGTTTTTTTAACCTTTATTTTAAAATCTGGTAAATTTTTTTGTGGGAGGGAAATCGTGTTACTGTGTTATTTCCAAATTAATGTCTATAAATTATAATATATATAGTATTAAAAAAATCGTACAATTTATTTGCCATAAATTATTTGTAAAGACTATTAATAATGGTTCAGCTGTATTTTCTATGAAGCAGGTTAAAATAAAATATCAGTGGCAGTCGATTTCGTTTGCGGGATTCAGCATAAAGAATGTTTTTAATTTCCTGAACACTGTGCATCTATAGTTGAATAGATCGACACCCAGGCCTGGGGTTGTGTGGCTTGTGAGGCCAGGCGGCTAAAAAGCTTTGTTTTTAGCTCATCTCGGGTCATTGCTCACGTTCTAATATACAGATGATGCTGGGCGAGATGAAAAAGTGCCCCTTTTTTCATTATCGCTGTTTTCTGTTTAATAAAACGCCATCTCGGCTGAAGAGATTTTTTCCAGGATTTTCAAAGAAAAAACGCCAACATCGTTCATGTTTATTAGGCCACATAAAAAATTACAGCGCCATTTCATTCACGATTCAACTTACTAAAAGAGTTTATTTGAAAATGTCTTTCTAGATTAAAAGTTTGCTTTTTAATGTTAAAAATTTAAAATTTATTAAAAAAATAACGTTCTATATAGAATTAGGTACATATTATATAATTTTATACAATTCTATATAATTTTATATGAAGGGGTAAGAATCAAAAGGGTACAAGTGCAAAAAATAGAAGTGGACTTATTACCTTTTAAAGTTTTTGCTATATAATAATAATAATAATAATAATAATAATAATTTATATTGCCCAACAGATACACGATCTATTGACAGGACAAAATACAAAAAGAGATAAAATAAAATATGTGGCAGTATTAATAACAAAAGTAGCCTATGAGAGTAGATATTCTATTCTGTTATAGGTTAAAAACTAAAATTAACAATTAGATCCTTAATTATAGAATTAAGAGAGAAAAAATGAGTGTCACTACTTTTACAGAGGTCGTTAAAGCAATTACACATTTAATAAATTGAAGACTTTATCACAATATTTGTTTTGGCTCTAGAGCAATAAAAAGTTGGATTTTGCCTACTAAACTGTCTAGGTATTTTAAAATTAATTAAACCTAATAAAAAAGGAGAATCTATTTTATTATTGACTAGTTTGTACGGAAAACTAGTTGAGACTATCAGCCTTCTCAACCTCAATGAGTTCATATTAAATCGAAGCAGAAGAGCATTATTGTCATAACCTCTTGGAGGATAAAAATTGTCAAATTTAAGCGAAGCAAATTTCAAGAATTTTCCTTGAATGTTTTCTAGTCGCGTAATATTAATATTATATATAGGGCTCCACGCTAAGGCGGCGTACTCTAATTTTGTTTTTACAAACGCGTAGTACAAAATTTTTAGCGAATTTTCATTAGTAAACGATCTGGTATTTCGTACAGACTTGGAAATATTTTCCATATGATGGTTATCAAA